CAGCAAGGACAAAAACCAGTAACTTGATGTTGCAAGATCCAACTTAAAACTTGCAAAACTAATGTTTCGACATTAAAATGATTAGGATAAAATACTTACTCTGGACGTCTTGGACGACGTTTATAGGAATAGTACGGATCCTGATATTTCAGCCGCTCATATTCAAATCCTCGCATATCATAGGCTCTCCTATCAGCCGGCCGGCGCAACACATCATATGCTTCTTTCAGGTCAACAAAATCAGCTGTCGAGTCGCCACCGTTGCCACTGCTACCCTTGTCAGGGTGTAGCTGAAAGATACGACATGTCTGTGAATTACATACCATACTCAATGGGATATAAAATGATATGCAGCACCCGCGGCATTTCTACGACTTGTTGTTTTATTCCCAGATCGATCACAAACTAATCACTTTGGTAGAAAGCGCAGCTCGAGGAGGGTCCATAACCCCCCCCCCACCCCCTCCTGCAACTGCTCCGTACGGTGCTGTTACATGTTCACGTTATTGTTATAACAGTTATATCAATATTATTTTAATCGGGTATGTGACAAGACAATATTAATTTGCATAGCGCGCCACGTCGCGCCCACAAATGACGATGTTTCTACGTGCAGAAGGGGATCCACGACCTAGTTTTCTTGGAATCTGATGATCAATGAATAGGCCAAGACAGATAGCGAAAACGCCGTGCGCGTCGATGCGCGCGATGTAACGGCAAATTACGATTGTCTTGCCCGTCTCCAATTTTATTCTGTTATGCCAACCAGATTTCTTATTGGTAAAACCGCCAACGTCAACGTTTCGACAAGATCGTCGTCTTCATGACTTGTAAATGGCTCGCAGTCCTTATTACCAACTTATCGATGGAAAATCGGCATAACATGACAAAAACCTCACTATACAAACACCGGCGCAGAGCGAAATCGGCGTCAACTGGATCCACATTCCCGGCAACATTATGTTCTTCCAAAACAATACTATCATGAAGTTCTGAAGAAACGCAGCCTGGGAATAACAACATATTCCCAAAGTTTGACTATTCAAGCTCTCATGGGGCATCCGTTCTGCAGCCACTCTATACTTATCTTACAATGAGTTCTACATCTAAATGTTTTCACAGTTCGCAAACAATAGCAAGGAAAGCGGAGAAAAAAAATGGCAATTCTCCTCAACCTAGACGAGGCGAACCGGAAAACGCCACCATATATCACTACCGCCCATAAGATTTTTTTATAAGCCTAATAAGAAGAAGGCGTGAAAGCATTCGGGTAGAAAGGCTTACGTAAAGCGTGGCATGATAGGTTGTGACGAAATCATGACAACCTTGACGTGGGCTTGGTTTGTTAAAAAGCCTGACTGTGAAGTTCATCTTATTGAAGACTACATGAGCGGGTGTTGTAGTAAAGTGCTGGATGTATTTCCGCTTTACTACAACACACGATCTGCGATTTGAAAGAATCGCGGAATGACATCCGGTGGCCAGCAGCACCTGGTTCATCCATTTACTGCCTTAACTAAAATGCGAGTCCAATATTTATGAGTGCTCTGGACCAGTAGGGTTACTGTAGAAAAGGAATGTTCCTCCTTTAATCCGGTGGAGAATGAAATGTGCTTACAGTCAAAGCAAGTTCTAAAGCCAATAAAGGCGTGCGCAGGGCAGTCATTAGTTGGGGATTTTGGTCGTCGAGTCCGTACGACCCTCCCCCTGAAAGGTGGTTCAAAACTATTCACTGAGGTCCCTCATTTGATACGATCGAGCTGTCAGGAGGAAGAGAAGGAAGGGAGATATGTAGCACGTGTGAAGCGAGAAAACCGTGAGGAAAATACGACCCCCCCCCCCTTGCCCATACCTAGCGATTTCCATCCTCATCGAGCTGTCGACGTGGGGGATGTATGTAGTAGTTAGGAAACAGGGAAAAAAAACCACGAAAAGTCTCAGCAAGCTCTACTAGAAGGTCAGAAAGGAGACCCCTCCTTTCACAACGTTCCCGGAACAGAAAAATTAAAAGGATAAAAAGGATAAAGTCTTCGCCGTTGATCAATCCCTTTGTGGGATGCGGCACGCATTCTACTTCCATTCAGAATCGTAGTGGCTTATTGAATGCGATGTGGCCTATACAATGACTTGCGGTGGCCAGCCGATGTACAAGTCAGTGTTTTATCCTCCCAGACGAATCTGGTACCAATTTACCGTCCCGGAGGGTAGAAGGCTTGGTTGGCCTGGGCGGGTGTCGACCCGGGATTCGAACCCGGCGCCGCGCGAGTGGTAAGCGCGCCACTTGTCACTACACCACCTCCGCCTCAACAAGAAAAATTAACTATTAAAAAAGTTTTCTGAGCCCAAATACGAGCCCCCCCGTTGAAGAATACCCAACAACGATGTGCCCTGTTCCAGAAAATATTTCCAGTTTTCCCCCAAAAATCTACATATTGAGCGGAGGGTATATAGCACATGTGAAATAGGAAAAACCGCGACAAGTCAACAACCGAGAAAAATATTCCTTATGCCGCAAGTTTTTCTCACAAGAGAAATACGACCTCCCCTATCACAACAACGAGCAGACACGACCTCTCCTTTGACAGCTTCCGTGAGACAAAGAAAGAACAATTATTAAAAAGATTTTTCTCAGAAAAAATACGACTCCCTCTACCCAGCGACCAAATACACTCTCCATGTTGGGGAATCCCCAACTATGACGTGCCGTGGGTGCCATTGTCTTAACCGACTGCTTGAATGACTAAATCCTGTAAGTCTAGTAAAGCATGAGAGTTCGCTCAACTCACGGGGCAACCGAAATCTCGCATGGGTGGGCGCACGAATATAGAGATTCAATTGTCTTTAAAATGCATTTTCCACTTTTTAGATGAAGAATAAAGGATAAAGTCTTCGCCGTTGATCAATCCCTTTGTGGGATGCGGCACGCATTCTACTTCCATTCAGAATCGTAGTGGCTTACTGAATGCGATGTGGCCTATGCAATGAACGGTGTGTGCCAGCCGACGTACAAGCCAGTGTTTATATCCTCCCAGATGAATCTGGTGCCAATTCGTCGTTTCTGCAGGAAGAGAAAGCTTGTTTTGCCTAGGCAGGGGCTGATCCAGTATTTAAACCCCCTTGTCACCTCACCACCTCCGCCTCACATTTGAGATCAAAATATTACTAACCTGCTTCGACTTTGCGTAAAAGGCTGCCTTTATTTCTTCCTGCGTGGCGTCACGTCTGACACCGAGAACTTCATAGTAGTCGCGCTTTTTCCGATAGGATCGACCGTTGGCTAACCTGAGTAGTGACCAGTCAATGAATAAAACCACTGGGCCACAAATACAGGCCCTTGAAAGACTTGTGATAACGAACTCTGTGCAAATTTCTTATCAAGATAAACCTGAAGACAGGCGCCAGGAAGCAAAATTCAAAAAGACTCTGAGTGAGTTGAGGAAATAATGAAATCCACACTACGAGTTATCTGCGCTGCGCCACGCAGAAGCCCACTGAGAATGTGTTCATGCTCACCAATTTTGTCCCTTCCG